GGCCAGCGTCGTGGCGCTGCAGGAGCGACAAGAGATGAACTCGCAGTTCAACCAGGTCAGTAACATCACAGTTTGACATGATGATTGGTGATTGATGCCCCAAGATAATTTTCATGGTGATGAAGTTTCAGTAAAAATTGCATGTTTTTTTTTTACGTTTGTCAATTTCCACTAATTATTTTTATTACGTAATTAGGTTAGTATTTCCCTATCATAACCTTGTAAGTTTTGTATCAACTGCTTTAACAATCTGTAGCTATTATTTCTGTAGAGTGTGCATGGCTTTCGTATGATTTATTATACCTCAGCAGCGTTAAGCAGTTTGCCCTTGGAATGGACACGTGTTGTTTTCTTTTCGGTAAGAACTGAATTGTTAAATATTTAGAACAGCTCCAGTACCTCTGATCTACAGAGTTATGAAAATTTCGGTACCCTAAATCACGGAATAGATCCTGATACACACTTCAATGCAACAGTTAAGTAATACGGTATTTTGAAGCTGGGATAGATCAGTATGGGGTGGACGACCAGGGATCGATTTCCGGCGGAGGCAAACTTTTTTTTTTTCCAACGCATCAAGGCCTCATCTGGGAACTACCCAAGAAAGACAAGAAGCCACACACGCTACGGCTTACCGGAAGGCTTACGTCTCTGAAGGCAAACCGGAGCGCGTGTTGAATTTGGCCGGAAACCGAGCCTCCGATAAATCTGCAGTAGCTTGGTTTTTTGCCTCGAGATTTACTGAATATTTACAAGTCGTAACGTGTGTGGGCAGAGACGAGGTTAAAGGCAAGGTTTGTAGCATTTAGTCATCTCAACCAGCCACCGAGAACTTCAAATCCTCGTAGTTTAACAGTTCAAAATATGTGTCACTCATCCATTCGAAGGTAGATATGCCAGTCCGTCGTCTCTAATCGAATTTCTGACCCACTTAGAACGTTTCAACTTTCTTTTATTTTTGAACATTAAAGTAACAGCAAAACGGATTAAAATCGCGTCTTCACTGAACATGTTGTAACATCGACTGAAGATTAAAAAAGACTGAGCACAAATCTGCCACGTGTGTGGACTCTCAGAGGTTTGAGGCTTTACCTTCCGACTTTAATTTGGCCGTCAGGTAAGTCGTTGCGTGTGTGGCCACCCTTAAAGGAGATGCTTGTCGCATTCATTCGTTTTGATGATATGTATGCCTGCTTACGTAAGCACAGGGATTTTACACAACGTCCCAAAAATATTTACGCAAAAATAAGAATAATATCCTTTTGGGTATATATTTTTGGGAAATCCTGTACATTTTTCCCCCACTTTCATGGTGATATCAACGTAATGGAGTCTTATAGCGAAAGTAACACATTTAAACCTCTAGAAAGGAGAGTGGCAGGTTTAGACACTGTTGCCAACTGATGTGTGTCTAAAACGTAGTTACGGACTTGTTTGGTGACAACGGACCAGAGTTCAGGACACACGAGGGACGTTGTTAAGAAAGGAATATGAAACTGTGACGTTTATTGAAGTCAGCTGATATATTTAAGGGCTAATCTAAATTCAGTTTAAAATTATTTATTTTCTCGTCTCCTGACAGAACGGTTTAAGATTAAAATACTGTTTAATAATTTTAGTTTTACGTAGTACTTTGTTTTATACGTAAGCGGAAGTACCAGGAGACTGGAGAGAATTACACAATGAGGAACTTAATAACTTTTAATGTGTAATTTCAAGTTCTGTTTGGTTGACATGAGAAATGCATACGACATTTTAGTTTGAACCTTGGAAAAAATTCGTAGATGGATTAATCTGGCTGAGGATAAGAACCAGTGGTAGACACTTGTGAACACAGATGAGTCTTGGGTTCCATGAAATACTGGCCATTTCTTCAGCTGTTGTTAGCTTTTTAAGTAGTTCCGTAAAAGGCCAGAAATTTTTTGACCAGCTAAGCGACTGTTAGCTTCTTAAGTTAGAAGGTAGTATGGAAATGTCGTAAGATAATCTCAAAGCTCGAATCTCGTTAAAATCCAGTCGATACCTCGAAAAAAAGCCTTAACCATTACGTAGATCAGAAATAATCGTTGTTTATTGTGAAAATCATATGATAAGGATTCACGACTGATTAAATATTACAGTACATGGCACATTGATTTGAATGGTTATCGAGTTTTAGATGGACTAAATAAAATTTAAAGTAAACAGCAGAATATAATTTTAACCTAACCTTGAACCCCAGAAACTATGACATTTCTCTAGTAAGTTTGAGGTTATATGAACCATTGATTTTAAAAAATTGGACATAAATATGGGAGGTTTCACACTGTTTGAAGTGCGAGATGGAGCGAATAGCTACTTGGTAAGGATTTAAAAGGAGGCAACCTTGAACCAGTTGATATTTGTAATGGTGAAGTGCTGTGTTTTCTTTTCGGTACGGGCTGAATCCGTGAATATTACTTCGTCTTCAAAGGGCTAGTAATATGCCGCGATCCTTCATGGTGTTAACACCCAGTTTCATGAAAACCCCGATGTTCAAAAATTAATTAGGTGCTGACACACAGACTCGATACCATAAGCCTCTATTTCGTAACGGAAGATGAAAAGTACGGTATTAATATCGCAATATCGGGATGAAACTTGGCGATAACCTTGTAGCGTCAGATGTTTTGTGTTGTTCATGAAACTAGTTGGTGGTCACTAGGGAAGTGATGTATTATTGAAACATAAGCTCTTCCAATGTGCGTACTTCAACAGTGTGAATCAATCCATAAACCACAATGCTCCGTATTTATTCCCGCGTACAGTCTAGTTCATTATTCTGCCACGTCACGAAAGTGGCGTAATGCGACCTCTGGTGTTTCGTACTGAATTCTGAGAATGCCTCATCCCTTAAATGAAGCTGTTTTAACCCAATATAAGTTCGACGAGTAACAAATGAACGTATTTTTCAGACACTACCAGTGTCTTCCTATAAAATTTATGAGGTCACAGTATTCGAATAAAATTGAGGTGCTTACTGCCTCAATAATCAGGGCGATGTGATATTTCATCAGGTAGCGTTAAACAGTTGACCTTTGTGATTTCTTTGAGGCACGGACTAAATTCTTAAATATCGCTTAGACGAGCTTAGGCTTATTGCTGAATGCAGACATTGCATATTATCATTAAATATAGCCAGGAGAGAGAATTGCGTATTGCGAAAAGGTTATGTGTTGAGAAAACACGTAGAAATGAGCAGAGCTCTGCGTGACTAATAATCCGCCAGCAGCTTGGCAAGGGAGGCTTGCCAACTGTGAAGAAGAATAAGAAAGTTTCCATGCCCGTAAACTGCAGCCCTCTACCATAATTCCAGTCTTTTCAAAGACTCTGTAGTGTTCTGAAGCTAAATGCCATTGGTAGAAGGGGAGATCTTTGTAGATCTGTTGTATGTGCCCTAAAATAATAGGTTTGTTTTGCAGAGACATAGGCAGTTCAGTGTTAAATTATTTGTTGTGTGTTGGCATTGACAATTTTGTGTCAAGGTCACATATGTGGAAAGTGGAACTTTCTGGTTTTGGAATAAATCCCTCGCGAGTGAAATTCTGTTGATAAGGTAGAATATACGTCTCTTAGAATGTACCATGCAGTGAGGAGAAAAGTTTTTTTAATCGCAACTGTGAATAGGACATGACCATTTTGAAATTACAATTTTTATTCACAAATATGTTCCGTCAGCCGGAAGTGAGATTTTACGGCACGCATAAGACCCGATCGTACTGTTCCCAAATCTCCTAAAACATTTGCATTACTAACAGATATATTATTGTAGATACCGTCCAACCAACCATTTCAGCTGATTGCAGAAAGAACGAGGTACCTTTGTCGTAAAGTATTCAATGAGAAACACTTCAACTGCTTTGAGGTTGAATTTCACAATAATCAAATATGACTACGTAAGTACAAAGTACATCTGTTCTGAGTAGCCGGCCGGATTTCATTGCACACGTGCCGAGCGATAATATTGTTTTGCTTTTTTTTATCGCAGTGCCTCTTAGTACTTACCCCTTCCGTTTGGCAGCGCTGTGCGCTTGATAATACGTAATGCACCGTGCGCACGTCCGCAACGCGATAATCCAATCCCAAGGCGTTGAAATGGTCTTTTCATTGCCCTGAAAACTACCAGGAAGTATTCTTTTTTCGTCTTAATATATTTCATAAACCGGTTACGCGACGTTATTATTGACACACAAGTGCAGTGGTAGTAAAAATGTTTCCGTACGAGTAATACAGGAGACCTAGACGTAGTAATTTCGGCCTGTATCAGTAGTACTTGTCGTCATGGTAACCACGTGACGTCACTGAAACCGAAAATCGTTGACGTTATTTTGTTACTATGGTAACTGCAGGACGCGTAGCGATGTTGCACCGTAGTGGGAACCCAATTTTATTTTTGTAGGCACCGATTGTTAATTTGACGTTTTAAATGTAATAGTAAATGCGTATGGTGTAGATCTTTCGGCTAAACTGGAGGTTACGGGGCGCATTTGAAAACAGAAAAAAGAACACGCATTTAGGATGAAGCAATCCCAAATAGGCCGCGGCAAACCCTCTGAACCAATTAACCTAACCATTCCCAACGTTACCTAACGCAACATTTATTTCATTATCTAATGTGAAAAGTTTAACTGTATATGCATGTGAGCGGAATTTTGATTGAGTGTGTTTCAAACATTATTATTATTCGTCAGATTACGTTACTTGAGGTTATGTTAGGTTACGTAGTTCAAAGGGTTTGCCACGTCTTGTATTTGATTGCTTCAAACTTTCTGGCGTACGAAAACGTACACGTGTTTTTTTTTATTAGTTTTTTTTTTCCATTTTGAAACGTGTTACACAAACTCCGGTGTAGCCGGTCTTAATTTTGCCTGAAGTCCCTAACCACCTGTTAAGTGTGCATCATCAAAAGCATTCTCCATAGTTCTATGATCACCCTGCCATCTGGGGGATGTGCGCTCGACATACAGTGCATGGCCTTCTATACGGAGACAGTAGGCATTTGTCATGTGTACCTGCCAGAACCCGCCATTTTAATTCCAATCTTAAGAGTGCACTTGCATGTACTTGTGTTTGTTTGTAGTTCAGATTATGTAGTGACTTGGAAAGGCTGCGGAAGGAAGCGGCCATCGCCTAATTTAAGGTACTATTCCGACATTTACCTGGAAGGACTGAGTAAACTGCGAAAAACCCCAGTCAGGTTAGCCTGTCTCCTGGCCGTGATATGAACCCGGGACACCCTGAATACGAAGCAGGAGTATTAACTACTCGATCACGACATTCGGCGTGGAACAACTTATTTTAGTTACATTCAGTTGCATTTTAGAATTATATAACCTTGTACCATTTAAGAAAATGTGGAATCTGATTACAGTTTTGAGGTTGTGTAACTGCACAGTGATTTTTAAAACAAGAGAACTGTTGACAATGACTGATGCATGAAATACTATTTACTCTTTGAAGCTGAGGCTTGTTTAAATGTTATATAAGAATTTAGTTTGTACTGCATTTCTCCATTGCAAAGGTCAGTTGGTTAATATCATTTTAATAGTTATTTTTTTAAAAAAAGAATACGCGTTAGATGCTTTGTTACAGTTTTGTGCTATTGTGTATACTCGTAATTATGACGGTAATAACAGTCAAGATTATTAAGATTTTTGGTAACAGCTTCCAATCAGAAAATTATGAATCAGGAGATGATCAAAACTGAAGGGAGTAAGGAGGAATAGCCTAGAGCAGGTTACAAAAGAATTTACAAAATGGAAGATGCAGAGTGTAATAATCCAGAAGGAACATGGTGATAAGAAGTGGAAATATTTTTTTTCTTCTGATGTGATGTATCATGCTTACATGTTTTAGGGTATTTAAAGAGTGGTTTTGGGTATGGCAATAAGTGTGAAGAGACTTATCTAAAATGCTGTAATGTGAGTTACTCCCAGTATTAATGTGGTTAATGGAAAATTCTGGAATATCTGTGTACTCATTTAATTTTCAGGTTATGTTAATCTTGAATTTGTAATGATAAGTAAAGTACGATTGTTTGAAATTGACTGTAGCTTATAGAATTGATAAAACTGGTTGTCTTTATATATATTCTTGGCATCTGGTCTCATTCAAAATCTGTTTGTTAAAAATAATTATATTTTTATGACAATCAGTTCATTTTAATGTCAGTCCATATCTTAAAAATACTTCAGAAGATATGAATGTCTGTGTTTGTGTTTTATTTACGTACTTTGGGCGTAGCCAGAAGCAATCAAGTCAGTCAGTGAGGTCTGTCTGCAGTAGTTCATCCTTCTGGTTGATAGATGGCATGGAGCAGAGTTTAATGTTGGCAGAGGAGAAAAGTTAATTTTGACAAAACTCGACTCTTAGTGGTTGTAAACATGTCATTTCATAGATGAAAACATTTATTTGTGGGAAGAATGAAAATATACGAGTATTTATATGGTTTCTTACAGTAATTTATGTTAATTTGTATTTGGTTGCTATTTGGGGCATATGATTAAAATGTGAGAACTCAAAAATTCCAATAAAAACTATAAAAATGATTTTCCGTAATGTAGCATTTCTTTTAGCTGGTCTTAGACAGGATAGGCCAAGGAAAGTCTATGGAAAAATCTTACGAGAAGAAGAGATAGGATGGTGGGACACATTCTGAGGCACCCAGGATTGGTTAATTTGGTAATGGAAGGAAAGAATTGTAGGGGGAGGCAAAGATTGGAATATGTGACGCGGATTTTTGAGGATGTGGAAATGAAGAGATTGGCGCAAGATAGGCGAAAATGGAGGACCACATCGAACCAGTCGAAAGACTGATGACAGAAAAAAACGTGGGTTGCTTGAAAGCTGTGTTAATGCAAGAAGAAAATATGTCTTATACATAAAAAGACAGACATTTTGTATGAATTTTTTCTGCTATTCCGCATTTTTCTCAAAATGGCAATCTTTGGGAATAATTTCAGAAAATGACTTGGCGCCGAGATTGATAAAATGAATTCGGACATACAGTAGCTGTTAAGGAATGAAGCGAATGGAACTCATTAACTTATGTGGCTGGTAAATTCATTCTAATTCACATTCTAACTAACTAACTAACTTACTAGATGGATTACAGAACCCAAAGGTTCATCACCGAACTAACCAAAGCCCTCCGCCGGGCCGTGTCCTTGGGCCAACAAAATCCATTCTCCTTCAACTCCCACTAATTCACATTCAATAATTTAAATTTATAATTTTACTTTCGCAGATGCAGAATGTTCCCCAGCATGGAATGGCTGCTCAGCAATATGGAAACACTTACGGAGGACAACGAGGACACGGTCCTATGGGCATCGGAAACCCGAACACTGCGATGACGACTATGGGGAACATGGGCATGGGATCAATGGGAGGAGGAATGAATGGGATGAACCCAATGAGCTCTATGGCTAACATGGGCATGATGGGGCAGAGTGCAGGCATGCATGGAAATATGATGGGAGGAATGGGGCCGGGGACCATGGGACCCGGGACGATGCCAATGAACAAGATGGGGATGCAGGTACGGCATGCACTTTTCATTTCTGCAGTGTTTCATTTTTCATACTGAAATAAAGATATCTATTTGTAGCTCAACCCAGTAATGGATCATTGCCGCCTCCTTCCAGAGGTTTCTTAGTCATTGAAGCGTCCGTTTATGCGTATTGAGTGACAAGCCCACTGATGGCACAATTTCTACTCAATCCTCATTTAACAGTGAATCAGGAGAGACTTGGGTGAGAAATTGCCCCTGAATTTTGCTTGCGAAACATCTCGTAAGGTTCTTTTACGCGTCGTAAATCTACAACATGGGACCGCCGGCTTTACACCCCCTCTGAAGGAAGTTGTGCAACGGATTTTTATCACCCTTAAAAATCCATCGACCTCGGCCTGGATTGAACCCGCGAACCTTGGGTCCAGTGGCGAGCGCGCTAACCACTAGCCCACCGAGGGCGACAAAATATGTACCACTAAACCGTTAACCCTGGAATTTAAAGCCCAACCACTTGACCTTTAGTAGTACCAGGGTTTAAATCCTTTATTCCCATACGATGAAGGTTAATTGTACCATATGTTGATGTTTTAGTAACATTTGGTTGATTTTGATTTGGTGAGAAATGGAGGAAGAATCTCTCTGCAATAGAGCTGTGTCTCCAGAGTAAATAGTTTCTTTTTGAGAGCAGTGTAGTGATAAAGATCTGGGCTACAAAACCAGGCTATGATTCTTAGAAGGGGTGTCGATGTTTCTCGTCATCACCGAACCTAGACTGGCTCTGGGGCTTACTTGGCCTCTCTGTGTGTGCTGGAGGCTCTTTTCCTGGGGTTATGCAGCTGGGGCCTGAAAGCGACCAATTTTAAGAATACCGCAACTCTTTCATTTACCTTCATCGCACGTGCTTAATTAAGTACCTTTTCCAAAGGAGAAATTGGATATTGTGCTGCTTCTCATGTGTGTTGGGCAAGGCCGTGGCCTAGGCAACACGGAGTTTTCCTCATTGGCATCCCAACAATTACTCCATTCACACACAGAAGAAGGCAATGGCAAACCACTTCTGGATCATCTGCCAAGAACGTATATGAACAGGTCCCAGTCCGAGAAAAGGATGGAAGGATCCTGTTCATAATATGTCGCCAACCTCCTATAAAGGAGACGGCGTAATAAAGAAGAAGGTACATGAAAATATAGGCTGAGATCTGCTTTGTTTTCTTGTTGTTTGGAGTTAATTTATGTTGCTGTCTGAGATAGAATAGGATAGAAACAGTTTTTCTTAATTTAATGCTCGTAATAATATTATATTGAACTTTACAAAACTCGTACATTGAAAGAGTTTGAAACTTTCAGTAACTTTAATTGGAATTTTATTTGCATTAACTAATGAAATAGTTGGCTGCTCACAGTTGAGATTTATATTGTGAATGTGCAGTGATATGTCACATACGCTGACTAACATTTCATATATAAACATTATTATTGACAGGGTCCAGGGCCGCAAGTATACCCGCGCAGGTTGGCTCCGTACCCCAGCCCTGCAATGCATATGTCACAGAAGCGACATCCGCAGGGCTACTCCAACCCGGGGCCTACGATGCAGCCGGGCTTCTCACCTGCAGGAGGACCTCAGGTACAGCGCTTACAGTTGGCTTCTTACGAGTAATTACCGGTCACTGGTGTGGAACCTAACGGAATATAAAATTTTAGCGAATGAATGAATGAATGACCTTCTCTCGTGTCATGCATTTTAATAGTTAACTCTTCATTGTGAAAATACAAGTTATGCCTTTACTACGTCTTCTTTCTCATCTCCCATTTTTGCCTTTATAGCGTCGGGGTTGATCGCTCGGTCCACCCCCTCCATTCCTTCCTATCCCTTGCTAAGAATTTCATCTGCGTTAAACTTTTCCCCTTTGCCTGTCCTGTTTCTCTAATAGTATCCAAGTAGCTCTTTCTAGGTCTTGCTATTGTTCTGGTACCCTCAACTCTAGCTTCCAAAAACTGTTTCGTCAGCCATTCGATCTCGTCCAAAACCATTTCAGTTGCTTTTCTTCTAATTTTGTTTTAAGTGATTTAATTCCCACCTTGTCTGTAATTATGGTGTTCCTTTCGCGTTTTCCCTATTGACTTTCTGAGACATTTTATTTTATTTCTACCGCTGTAACTTTAGATGAATATTTATTTAACTTTGGCCAGCTCTCGCTGCCACATAATTGGTAGAATTGTTTCTTGGTTTTTATATTCAATTCTTTCTTTCCAAATGTTGTATTGTTTAATTGGTGATAAGCATTATTTGCCTTCTTTACCCTATTTAGGGGTCCGCAGTGGCCGCGCGGTCCGAGGCGTGAGCCTTGTGCCGCTTGGTCGCTGGGACCGTGGGTTCGAATCCCACTCAAGCCATGGATGTTTGTCCGTGTTTTTCTATGTTGTGCTGTCCTGTGTACAGGTAGAGTCCTTGCGACAAGCCGATCCCTCGTCCAAGGAGTCCTACCGAATGTCCATAGATCGAGCCAACAAAAAGTTGGGACCCGCAGTGCTCAGTCACTTGAAGAATGGGTTGTTCCCAGTATCCCTATTAAGGATCTCATCAGTTTTTCCATGGCCCCCAAGTATTTGTAGTTTCCTACTTGTTTCAATTTCTCATTTCCACTTCTCTTTCATCCTGTTCTAATACGTGTCTCCCTATTTATGCCTTTACAGAGCGTATAATTTGTGCTTTGTTTAAGGAATTGTAGTGCTTCATTGAATGTATGGGAATTGTAAATTTAAATTTTAAAACAGGCTTGTTGATGTTTTGTTAATTTTATCACTCGTATAGTTGGTACAATATGTTATATATACTTTAGTGTGGAGTTGTTCACTTTGGAATTTAAATTATTTTTGGACCTTTGTGTGCGCAGTATCCAGCTGGGTATGGTAATGGGAGGCCAGGCTTCCAGACACAGTATCCTCCGCAACAAGCGATTGGCCCGTCAGGAACGTTTGCTCCCGGTGCTGGAGTACGAGGAAATGCGGTCGGAATGCGGCAAACGACACCACCTTACACCACCAGTGGTCAAGCGGGTCACCAGTATTTTGGAGCAGGAGGAATGCCTACAGGAGCGATGGCAGCTCACCATAATGGAGGGGCGGGAGCCGGGCAGTTTCCCCCCCACCACCAGGCTGGCAGCACACCCCAATATGTAAATGTAAATGCGGCCGGAGCTGCGCAGTACGGAGGTGCAGCCAGCCAGTTCCAGCAAGATGTTAACACCATGAGAAACAACATCAGCTATCAGCACAGTCCCATTCCTGGCAACCCGACTCCCCCTCTTACCCCAGCCAGCAGTATGCCACCTTACATCAGTCCCAACCCCGACGTTAAACCCAATTTTGCCGAGCTCAAACCACCGTTACCCATACAAAGTGAGTACAAGACTTGTTTTTATAAAGTTTTATCGAGCTAGTCAAATCATTTGTCTAGAAAAATTAGAAATAGTTTCACTTTATTTAATGACCTTCTTACAGATTGTTAATATTGTGTTAAATGCCATTTAAATATTTCTAGTTGACTTAATTTTCTTGTTTGGCTCAAATTTTATTCTTGGTGCCACAAAAACTGTTTCTGTGTTTTGCTGAATGTTTTTCAAGGTCGTCAACATCATTCAAATTCTATCCAGTCTAAATTTTTCCTTTAAATTACTGCGATGAGAAGAATCGATTGATCCGTGCGATTGATACATTGCCCTGTTTCATTCACAGAAGATGATGAGTTACGTCTGACGTTTCCTGTACGTGACGGGATCATCCTGCCTCCATTCCGCCTAGAACATAATTTGGCAGTTAGCAACCACGTCTTCCAGCTCAAACCCACCGTTCACCAGACTCTTATGTGGAGGTACGCAAATGCATTGGACCACTCGTATGACTTTTGTCAACAGTTTGATCCATTCAACATCGAACCAATTTCACTTTGCCCACGCCATTCTTAAATAAAACTCCCGAACAGGAGTGGAAGGCTTTCGTCTTCGTTTCTTAGCAGTTCGTTGAGCTTAAGCTCAAGCACTATGCTATGGTGACATGAGCAAATGGAGGTAAGGCTCCATGCATTCTTAGTCTGAGTTCTGTGTGGAAGTGAGTGGTTATCTTTCACATTATGGCCTCTTAACTCCTGGAGAGAGAATCTTTAGTTTGCTTGGGACAGACTGGATTGCCCCGCTCATCTCGACCCCTGACAAAGCCCAGAAACAAGTGGAATGTTTGAGTGATTTGAGAATGAAAGCCAATTTGTGACATTGTGAAATACCTAAAAAGTATTGAAAAGAAAACATGGCAATGAAAGGTTTAGAGAAATCATGAGGATGGATCGAGATATAATTGAGGAGATAGAGAAAATACAACTGATTGGGTACAGACATGTGCAAAGGATGGAGGAGGAAAGGTTACCAAGGAAGACTATGAAATGGCAAACCAAAACAAAGAAGGAAGAGAGGGAGACCGAGACCGGGATGGAACGACAGAATTATAAGAACCACGATAGAGTGGAAACTACCTCCGGAAAGATGGGAAAATAGAGAAGAATGGAAGAAAATATTAGGCACTGGAAGACCGAAGTAACGGTCAAGAAACGGAAGAAGAATATGACTTCTTTTTCTTTTTCCAAGAGCTTATGCAATTTGTTTTGAGGTAACGTCTGTCTGCCTCGGATGACCGTACAAATTGATTTTATTATGGTTCATCTTTGAAGGTATGGTGAACTTTCGAGTACGTAACGGCGAATTTCTTCACCACTTCAGAAACTGCCAACTGCTCTAGATCTTGTGCCATAGCAGACAAAAAGCGCTTCCACACAAATTATATGTAACATATTGTGTTTGTTGAAATAGATCAATTTGACGCTTTGTCTGTTCCAAACTTAATGAATAAGTAGATGTCTGTAACACTTTAAAGGATATTATGTGACAGTAGCTCTGTCCAGATCTTTTATATTTAAACTTATGTTGACAGGTCTGATCTTGAACTTCAGTTGAAGTGTTTCCACCATGAAGATCGGCAGATGAACACCAACTGGCCGGCAAGCGTCCAAGTATCTGTTAATGCGACGCCGCTCAGTATCGATCGCGGGGAAAACAAAACATCACACAAACCCCTTTATCTGAAGGAGGTGTGCCAACCTGGTCGAAACACCATCCAAATCACTGTTTCAGCTTGTTGCTGTGTAAGTATACTTCGCTAAAAAACCGCTTGAAAAGAACAGAAGAGTTTTAGATAGTGCGCATAACTCTTAATAATTATCTCTTCCATATAGTCTCACCTGTTTGTGTTGCAACTGGTACATCGACCGAGCGTGAGAAGTGTTCTGCAAGGTCTGTTGAGGAAACGCTTGCTCACTGCTGACCACTGCATCTCGAAAATCAAGCGAAACTTCAGTAACACGGCTTCGTCGGGCGGAAGCATGGGCACGGACAGAGACGGTGTCGAGCAAACGGCGCTCAAGGTATCCTCTCTTCATATCCACTCTTGGCCACTACTATTATTACTTGTTTTGATTATACAATAAGTAATTTCTTGACGTGTCTCCCCTTTGTAAAATACATTTTATGTCAGTGGGATTGATACTGGAAAGATAAAACTTTTTAGTTGTTTTATCTGCATATATGTTGCACTTTTTTTTGCCAAACTGAACACGTGAACTGTGTGAATGTATTTTGATTATTCCAAATTTTAAATTTTAAAATAATGTCGCATTGACATACCACCTCATTGAAAATTTTTTACCGTGATATTTGTTACATTGATGTTAAACAGGTTTGATACACAAATTTAATGCAGAGTTAGAAATAAAATATAATCTGTTGTAATAAAAATAGGAGTACAGTATTTGGTTAATATTTAACTTGTTTTGTTAGAAGTATGTATAGGTTTTCTTTTTAAATTGTTCTTCAGTTATTTATGTGGTTTTTCGATATTCAGTTTTTTGAGGAATTATTCCCATAAATTACAGGCTGCTTCAACCCCAATTCCATCCATTTTACTCTTCATGATAAATATTTAAGATTTCAAGGTCATTCTTACACAGTATCAGGATTTGCCACACTGAGGTTAATCTTGATTGCGCATGGTGCAGTAGAACAGGCAGTGGAAAGCAAAGACGTGGGAAATATCTTTGTGATAATGACCACTGTTCTCCACTCAGGAATAGGTGAATGATGTGCGAGTAATTAATGATGATCTGTAATTTGTGGTAACTTTGATTTGTCCAGGTATCTTTGAAATGTCCGATCACCTTCAAGAGGATTACCCTCCCTGCAAGAGGTCATGAATGTAAACACATTCAGTGTTTTGATCTTGAATCTTACCTGCAGCTTAACTGTGAACGAGGATCCTGGAGGTGTCCAGTGTGCAAGTGAGTGTTTTTTTATTTGTATTCTTGTGTTCTCTAAAAGAAAAGTGTCGTAATAATATACTGTGTTCTACCATTTGTGTATTGATGGTGTAATGTTTTATGATAAAATCATTAGAATTTGATTTATGACAATTTTTGGCTTCTTTTAATCAGAAATATTGGTACTACACTTTGAACCGACAGTGTCTCGGATTTGTTCCCACTTGTTCGGATATTCTCTCCATAACGAAGCTCTTCTGTATGCTGATGTTTAAGCTTACATAAAATGTACGTAGTAGTAATCTCTGATGTCGTTTTGTAGCAAACCTGCCCAGTTGGAAGGCCTTGAGGTTGACCAATACATGTGGGGCATTCTAAACACGCTCAACAGCTCGGAAGTTGAAGAAGTCACAATTGATTCCTCTGCCAATTGGAAACCTGCCAAGAGTTTACAGGGGATCAAGGTAATTCAATCGGAAGTTTTAAGTTCATCTCATTTTAAACTTTATTGCTCCCTATAACAATACTATCCTTCAGTTAGCGTGTCTGATGTATTACTACTCATTATTTAATATTTACATTTTTTATACTTTTCTGCATTTCATATGCAGTCATCTACATCATTTGGTTGTTAATGTAGAGTTGCCTATTTATTTATATATTTGTGGTTCAAACAACTCTGTCTATAGAATTCATAGAATCAGATGATGGGCTTGATTAACCGTTAAAAAGCTAAAGATTTTCTAAATAATATTCAAGAATGCAATCCATGCTGCAAAGAAAACACGATTCTTCACCATTACAAAGATCAGCTGGTTACCGCTGTTTAAGGAATTAATCTGTGTTTACAGTATCAGTCATATGAAACCCATGAACGTACGAAACAAAGGGTTGTAGAAGCAGGAGGGACATTTAGTTACAATTTGGTTTGAAGTCATTGGTAAAAATTGAAATAGAATGGATATGGAAGGATGCAGTCATGATCTGATATAAGGTACTATCCTAGAATGTGCTGGAGGGACTGAGTAAATCCATGAGAAACCCCAGGGTTGGCGGTGTCCAGGCCGAATGGTGTCAAGATGCTGTGGAAGTCTGGAAATGATTCATCTTGTGCTCATCAGTTAGCATCCTAGGCACCCACCATGCACACAACTTGTGATACTTGAGAACCTCCGTGACAATAGTATGTGCGGATCCGATACTGACATCCAATTCCCTAGCCAGAGCATCTAAAGAAATGCGCCAGTTTCCACGAATAATGGCATCAGCGCTACCCACCTTCTCATCAGTGCTGGGACGACCGGAGCGTCAGTCATCACGGATTGATGCTCGCCCATTTTTAAACGCGTCTATCCACTCATACACTCTTCTCTCGTCAATGCTGGCATCTCCATACTGTTGCAGCATTCTTCTATGAATTTCACGAGGCTTTACACCCTCCGACCACAAAAATCTGATGATTGCTCGCTGCTCCTCTACGGTGGAAACAGCTAAGGGCGCTGCCATTTTGTATATGCATCCCTTCCAATTAAGAACGCCATGTTATCTATTGGGCGATGTCAAAACCTTTTCTAAGAATGTATCTTCCCTACGCGGGAGTTTGAAATGCCTGGGGTATTCGCTTCATGAAATATTGTCAATTTGCTGTTACGTTTTGAAACGCCCTTGTAAATAGGAGTGCTGACCGCTGTCTGCAACATTCAGCCTTAGTGTCACAGTAACGTAAACCTTAAAATATGTTCGTACATTTGAGGTGTTGAAATCTTTATTATGCATGACTTGGTAGAATATAATAAATTAAAATAATTAGCTATGCTCATGGTTAACTGTTTCAGGGCACTTAAACTGATGTATCTCCTAGCGTTCGAAGTGGTTTATAAAATAATTAATGGTCGATTTAAATTGTTTTAGACGGAGGATGACAGTGATTCATGCGGAGCGAAACGTCTGAACAAGGCAATGTCTCCGGGCAGCATGACTCTTCCCACTATGAACAACTGGGATATGAACCAAGCCATGTCGCCATACATTCCCCCTGACATGAACAGTAAGTAGGATTGATTTCTGCGGATGTTACGCTCATGCGGATGTTTCGGAAGTACAGCAGCAGTATCACTTACTGCTGTTCGCTCACATTGCCATCAACCAATCAGTTTCAAAAACAGCCATATTACATGCCATCTTAGTTTAGTACTGTATTCTTTATCCAGTTTCATCAATTTTTTTTTCACCCTTCGCCATTATTTTCTTCCTCCTCTTCCATGTCTTCAGAGTTACCAACTTTTTCATAACTGTGGTATTTATTTATGGGAAATTACTTTTTTTATATATAGCTTTGGTGGCTCTTAAGGCACACTTACCCGGTGTCCTACGTGAGCGATTAAGTGCGAGCGGTGCGATTTGCGTGGGTGAAGCGGAAATATCAAACTGGCTGTTTGTATGGCGCTGTCCTAGGTTACAGCGAATCAGTCAAGAGAGTAAAGCGGCCGGATTCCGAGATCAAATATTTTGATATTTTCGCGCGAGTCGCTGCGCTGGCCAGTAAGGCGCATATGCAAGAAAGCTCTGACCGTGCAGTACAGGGAAGGTGCATGCGCAAGAAGGCCGTGTGCTTCTATTGCAGTCTCTCACGTAGGACACTACAAGTGATTCCCCGCTTCATATGACACCCCATGCTGCTTATGCAGCTCGCTTGTTATCGCTTACGTAGGACATTGCCTTATGGTAGCTCATGGTTCATAACTTTGAATCATTTTTATGCCTCTTTTGCTTGCACAGTGAGGTTAGAATTGTTTATATACTACATTCTGAAAACATCAACTTGTTGAAAGCTTAAATTGTTTAGTAACTGTCGGTCTATATTTGTTACCCAGTTTCAAGATGGCCTTTGTTCTTAACTGTACAATTTGAAGAGGGGGTGGATTTGTTTAAATACTTTTCATAATTAATCATAAATACATAACTTTTCATGTTTTCTCTTCCGTGTAAATTTACAGGCATTGCGAGTGGTTCCATGATGAACAGTGGCCCACCCCCCTACAGTGCCAGTGGGATGGGGCGAGGCAGCTCTTATGACTTCAGCACAAGCTCTAACCCAGGGAGTAATGAGTATTCTGGTGGTGGAGGTCCACTTTCGCATCTTAGTGAGTCGGTCAACTCTCTTGATCCATTAAATGCAATGGAGAAAACATTGAATGAACAGGTGAGCAAATTATGTTGTAAAATGAATCTAGTTTGCACATTGACCGGACCATGAAAATTTCACTCCCTTATAAGAAGCAGATTTGTAATTTTAAATTTGCAGGTTTTATTGAACTCGTAATTAGACTTGAGGAAACTTCAGACATTCTAATACATTTCATTTACGTTTTATGGTACACAATTGATCCATAAAGCCAAACGTCATATATATTTAAAAGTTCAGTTCCGCACAACATATCAAAGATCAAATGATTAACATTGTTTAGGGACATAATAACTGTTTATCCTGAGAATTATACCAAGCCCATAAATAAATAAATAAATGATGTTGGTAGTACCATTTGCATATATGAAATTTGACACGCTTGTGTGATGATCTTCTTCCTCTATGGCTGTCCGATCCGTATTTGGTCCATGGCCTCCTCAATTCTCCTCTTCCATTCGGTCCTCTGTTAGGTCCGTCTGTCCGAGACTTTGATCGAGGTTCCGAAACATCTTCCTTTTTATGTGCAAGGTTGTTATTCTTGCGACCAACCCCCAACCTGGAGGACGAGTGTACCTGTCTTCGTCTGATCTCTCCCCCTCGACCAACCCTACCAGTAGCTATGCTACTGCCAGCATAGCTTTTGGGGTCACTGAGGTGATTGTGTGATAATATTAAAATTATTTATATACTAACATCTTTCGCTCAGATGCCGCATACCCCACATACGCCGCACACACCACACACGCCGCACACACCCGGAGGAACGCCCGGAAGTGCTCACACACCAGGAGGAGGCAACAGCGGTCCTCCGAGCGTGCCTCCTGCCAACTCGGGTGATGGAAATGTTGGTAGCAGTGCTTCAGGTCCTGGAAGCAACAACAATAGCAACCATGGTAATACAAGTGGCAGTACTGCTAATGCAAATAACGCAACAACAGATGCACCCGACATCCCATCTGACCTTAATTTTGATCCTGCGGCTGTTATTGATGGTGAAGGCCAAGGTCAAGAGGGGCTTAATGTGAGTATTCTGTAATGTGTACTGCAGTCTTAAGTTATGGATTAAAATTTTATATTAAAATATAGGATTGCATTTAGAATATTACATTTAAATTTATATTGATTATACACCTGAAGATGGTTCATTGAAAACCGAAACATGTCGTGAAAAAGATGATGCTCTAATTGTAAATCGAACATTTCGATGAAAGAGCATCATTTTAATATATTTTAATATATTTTAAATATTAAATGTTAATTATAATAATAATATTTTAATATTTAATAAAATATTTTATTGTGATTAGACGGTTAAAATTAAACAATTATGGATTAAAATTTATCTTCTTTAACTCGTCGCTTCCAATGATCAGTTGACTTCCGATTAATGTCTGTATGATTTCTACTATGTGTCAAGAAGTTCGTAATTGTTTGCATGTTTCACTGCTCTCTTTTTTTCACTTTGTTTAAATAGTGATGCTTGGCAATTGTCGATTTGTTTGTATATAAGAGTAATAGACAGACCAAAGCAGGGTTTTGGGATTTAACAGATGTGTTTTTCATATGGAAATTCTTAACCCTTTAACTCCCGAGTTTTAACACACTTTGCGCATGGCACAACCCAGGTTTCTAATCACTCGCTGGGATTGGTCAAAATCATGCTTCTGTAGCACAAAATTCGTGTCATTCATCCATATTGAGAGGGAATTACATTTTGTGGCTGTAAACTTAATTTCTTTTTTAAGAAAGTTGGAGCAGCCTCGTTGTTGTCGTCTTCATTTCCTCTCTATCTGTTTCGTCACTTTCGGCATTGCTTTCGACAGTATCGTGGATGGCTAAGTGATAATCGCTGTCTTCATAAAAGGCGCATTATCATTACTTAAAATATCTAAAATCTCATCTTCAGTGATGCTACGTTTACTACTCGAAGCCTTCTTGACAGCGGACAGCTGTCAAGAAAATATAACGATCACACGATAACATCGATATCTCGAGTGCAGCGATCGATAGAATTGTCTGCTGTATGTAGAACAATTGTCAGATATTCCATCTAGTGGTAAACTATCAAACTACATCGCCAGAATATACTCGGGCGTGGGACACGATGAGAAATATAAATTCCGAGCTAACTCGGGGTTGGGATGTAAAGGGTTAAGGGGCATACATCTTACGTTAAGAATTAAAAAAACTGCATTTTCCTGTTTCAGCTGCTGCCTGACAATGTGGTGGATCCCATGGAGTTGCTGTCCTACCTGGACCCGCCCGATTTGGCGACTCCTCCGTCTAGTGGTGCCAGTAGCAATGGCAACAATGGTACACCAGGAAACACCACCAGTGATGACATTCTTGCACTCTTTGAGTGACTCTAAAGTGTACAAAGCTCCTCTTCCCCAATGTTCCTTTTATATTTTAAGTTTAGGCAATGGTGAAACTACAGACAAATTTTAAAGACGGGCTACGTTTTACTGTGCAATGTACGCAACTTTGCGAATTTGTACAAAGAATTATTGTGCGACGTTCCTCATCTCCATAAGTTAAATGTGACTGTATTTAAAATCGCTGGAATGACTATTCTAAACGAGACTGCACTCAATGCCGTGAGGGCTCTTGACAGATTTACCAGCGTTCCTATAAGTTATGATGGTGCAACATGCCAACACCAATGATAAGAACTATTATCACAATTAGATTAATATTTTAAAAACTTTACCCTGTCGTTCCTTAAACAGAAAACTGTTCCAAATTCAAGGTGCACATAAAAAATGTTCACCACTTTTTGCGCCGACGTTAGTAATAAATTTGTATCATGCAAAAGTAGAGAGGAAGTTACCGAACTTAAGAACATGGTTTTAGTATCATGCACTTTTTTTTATTTGTGAATGACTGGCTGACGTTAAAGAAAGTTGTGGCTTAATATAAGAATTTGTGAAATGGCAGTGTACCGTGTCAGAACAGCGCTGCACTGCCCTGATCTGCTGTGCGAAAGTGAATTGGTTGTGTTCATCACATTACTGGCGAAAAGAAAATGGTATGGTAACATTGAGAATGGAAGAAATGAAGGTGATGGTGTTTTGTGACTGTTCGTTCGATGCACACGACCAAAGCAGTTATCATTTTATGTATTGACGAAATGGCGTAGACATGTACTTCGGGGGTGAGCTGGATTCTACATAGTTTCAAGCAAACATCTAAAGTCTCAGAAACCTTTCTTTTCTTAATACTGTCGAAGACTTCATGTACAAAAATACAAGCCAGGAAATACACAATCCGTACAATTCGCTTGTACGGAAGTATGGGGAAAGAAAACTGAGCAAAGCTATGTACGTGTATTTATTGTACATATAGAAATACTATGGCAGACAGTAATTATTGGCGGCCAGTTTAGAATTAGTAATACTGTAATGATAAGTATATATTTTACCTGTCATCGGAACCAAACTTGTATAAATAACAACTGTATTATCTTAGTTACACATGCCACCGTACATACGAGCAAACCTGCATGACTGAATAAGAATCCAATTATGTAATGTCTCAGTGTATTACGGCTTTAAAAGTATTATTAGTGAGGTGCACAAAACCCCATCAGTATGTACGTAGACGAGCATCATACCTGCTAGTAACGGAGCGGAGAAGGCGCACGCAAAATTCTTGAATTGAATATTTATCAACATTTTAAGAAAACTTTAATTAGACATACTTGAATTAGACATGCTTGAATTAAAATGTTTTTAATAACGTAAAATGCAAATTATTTTGGATATTTACAACATTTGACGGGATTGTTCGAATGTTATCCAGGTTGAAGTTCGCAGGAACTCGGCAAGGTTTTTAAAGGGAATAGGACGGTTGTTACCGACACTCCAGCCTTGGGTACCTAGAATTGAATCTCTTTAAAAGGAGGCAGTGATGATGTGTAAGTTACGGCAATGCTCGTCTGCGTATCGTAAAACATAGGAAGCACCGCGTATGTGGTGGCAACATTTGGCAATCTATTGTGAAAAAACACACTTGTTAACTGTATGTATTTCCCATCATCTCCTATGACAAGTAGTATTGCAGTATTCTTGACATATTGTAGTCTTCTTTGAGCCAGTAGGACATGTATTAGTGTTTGTACGAGGTGAAGCGAATGAGAAGCACAGTACAAACAAATGTTATTATCTGTAAAAATATTGGATTGCCAAGGCAGTGATATTTCTTTTTCAAGTGGCATGGTACCAACCCTGCTGCCAGATGTAGTGAAAATCAAAAGAGAGTCCGCGTTGTTTTGATTTTTCAAATACGAAATTTAGTACGTAATAATTTAGTTCAAATGTAAATTAAATGAAATTCCAAATTTTAGTATTGGAATTGATTTTAGATGGTAGAACATGAAAAAAAAAAGTCATCAGTTTTGTGTTGGTGATTTGTAATCGCTGAGAATTTTAGATGTTTTAAAATCGACATCTGGTTGCAGATTCGTAGTGTTTAACAAATTAACAAGAAGAGTGATAAATTCTGGTATGGTACCGTGCTTGAGAGATAACTTCTCGTATAAATTCTTTACTATTTTTTCCGTTTCTTTTATGAAAGTATTTTGTTTCTTACTTAGTCTCTTGCGCTGTAAATGAGAGGCCACTATGATGCATGGTAATGCAAGTGACTTTCCACTGCAGTAACTTGACATGATCCATGGCATAAATGGCGGAAAGATCAAAGTCTAGTTGATGATAGATATGAAAGACATGTTTGATAGCTGAGGACTCCTGTCAGTTTGCAAGTATGGCTGTGTTCTTGAAATAAATACAATCAAAATGCCATGGCGTGTAGTGTAGTTTATGTAAAATTTAAATGAAAAGTAAGAATGTAGGTAATGAAGATCACTGGTAGTAGATTTATCTATTGTTTGTTGTTTCTCTTGGATTTAGCCCTTTGACTCCTGAATACATCTTTGCTTACCAGCTCCTGTAGAGGGCTAGTCTGAATTATGTTCCCGATTTGAAAGACATGCTACTCACGTTTAATGAAATTCACATACACCACAGGTGTTCAATGCGAACCCCCTTGGTAAATCATCACATATCCAGCCTGTAGTCGAGTTCCTCCGAGACACGCAGCATATCATGATCGATTGCTGCAAGGTCTGTGGTAAGGGTGGCACGAATACTCTATCTTTGACGAACCCCCACAGGAAAAAATCGCAGGGCGTCAGGTCCAGTGAACATGGAAATCCAGGACACAAAAGGCTCCCCTGTCTTCGATGACAGCCATTTTCTCTCATATCGCCTCTGGCGGCGAACAATGTTACTACGCGGCCGCGAAGTATACCAACATAAACTTGGCGAGTTTCTCTTTCGATCGGTACCAATTCTGTGCATCTGAATTTCATTAAACGTGAGTAACGTGTTTCAAATCGGGAACATCGTTTAGACTTGCCCTGTATTTTGAAAGAAAGATTCAAATATTTGAAGATTGTAGTCTTCTGGGTTGTCGTTTTTTTGGTGGTAATCTACCAGACTACACAGTGCAACAACCCAGAGGACGGAAATTTTCAGACTCACCACTGTGAAAACCTCAAATCCTATATTCAAATACTTCCTGGCATTTGTCAAAAGACGTGAGGATGAGTACAGTTTACTGCTGTCCTGTCGGAAAAATGGAAGCAATGAATGTCTTACAGACGGAGATATTTTGGCTGAAAAATTGTTCTTCAGTCTACACTAGTCTAGGATAATATAGGTGTAGTAGTCAAGGGGTTAAAATACTGATTTTAAATTAAAAGGAAGCAACACGCCTTTAAAAACTTAGTGGTTTCACAGTGTCACAGTAGGATACCATTAAACCTCGGCGTTCAAGTTATGCGAATAGTCTTGTACAGAAGTTTAAATACCCCATTCTCACATGATGATTGATGAAAGTGCAGTTTGATTGTTTGAAATTTTATTTTATTTCATAAGTGACTGTTTTTGATTCTGCTGTGTGATTCTTGTCTGCACAATCATGAAAGTGTAATAGAATGAGAGTAAAAAAAAATTTAATATGATTTAATAATAGATGTATTTGGTTCCCATTAAAAAAATCAGTAACACTAATTGCTAGGTCAAAATTAACTACCTTGTAGTTTTGATTGTCTACTGCCAATGTGTGTAATGTCTGTGTGTGTGTATGTGCGCATGTGCATGCGTATGATTGTTTTGTATTACAATTTGAACATATGCATTTGTACTGAATTATAAAACTTAATTACATTTTGGCAGTGGTGCAGTACTTATTTTTAACTTTGAGTCCTCAGTTTGTGTATGTTTGGAAATAAAATATTTTTGGAACAATATTTATTTATACTTTTTATAATATATGATGGTGGATCATGTCAAGATAAATGGCCTGGAGTGATACAAATTTTAAAGTATTGTAACTTGACAAAAAAAAAGTGTTTAAACTGAATCAAAGTCCATTATTTGTCAGAGCATAAAAACTGTTGGTCATTTTGTGAAATTAAAACAAATCAGAATTTTTAAATCACAGTTTGTGCCCTGTTTAATACCAAAATTCACTGCCGCTAAATGTTTTTCCAAGCAAACTACAATTTACGTGATTCGGGCATTTCCGAATACATATCAGATGACAGAAACCTCTTTCTACAAATAAAATAAAACGTATTTACAGAAATGCATATTCTCATGTTGAGCATATATGCCAAGAGTATTCATGAATACCACAAGTTTTATTTTTATTTATTGAAAGGACAATTTTGGCTTACAAACCAGAAACAGAATCGGTACTGTAATTTCCTGTATAACCTAGTGACTATTAATGATATGTCTGATGATGGTTTTTCATATGTGACTGAATAGAAATACAGCATTTATAATGAATGACCAGTAAGATCTTAAAATTCCATGACCATTTTATTGAAATTGAAATCTGCAGTGACAGTTGGACCAAACTGTTTAGTTATATTCCCACAAAAAGGCAGCTTTTTGCTTCCAAGAGTAGACCTAGCATTTCACTGTATCCGTCAATGTGTGTCATGTTTTGAGTAGCAACTAGCTAAGACTTCAGTGACAGAAAATTTCCCTTATATTATATAAATAAAAAATGCCAGTTGCAGGTTAGTTTTAGATAGGTCTTCCTTTATATACAGCGCATTACAGTATATGTTTAACTCCAATATTGTAAATAGTTTCCATTGTAGATGTATTTCTGCAAAAATGTACCATTACACTTTGAAAATGATTCCTGGAATTTTGTGTTTCAACAAAGAAAATCCTTGCAATTCAACTATCCTGTCTCTTACTGATATTGCTTAGAAATTTTGAAGAATGCTCAATTTTCTCCACCTTCTGTAATTTGGTTACCTGTATGAAAATCCCAAGCACAGATAACCACTGTCTAATCTAGCAGGCTTTTGTGAATATGATAATAATCATCCAGGTTTTAGAATAAATGGAAAAATTTTTGACTAGCTGAGCATACTTTTTTAGCTTCTCAAGAAGGAAGTGAGCTAACATTGGCGGTTAATGTTGAGCAGTATAAAATTAAAAAGGAATGTAATCAATAAGTGGTAGTTGCTTCATTCAAGAATCACAAAATGGTACAAAATTGTTTCGACTATTACGTGTGATTGAATTATTAATGTAAAACTTTGTGATTTTAACCACCTTACCCAAAATTTTTTTTTATGTTCTTTAGTTACTATGCAGAGTGATTTAATTCTAACGGTTGGTTTGTATTTCTTTAACAACATGTAACAGTGAGTAATGTGGTTTACTTCATCAACCGCCTTTACATCCAGAGAAAGATCTACATCCACTCATTGGAACTGCCGATGATGACCCCGAAAACCCCCCCCCCAAAAAAAAAAAAAAACCTGCATAGATTTGATGGTGAAGAAAAATGCTATGGGCTGGACACTTCTCTGAAAGTATATGCATCAGAATAGGTAACACTGTAGTCTGATAGATTTTGACCATTGTTTCAGAGGCACATATTGTATCCATCATCAGGGTCATTCATAAATCTGATAATGGAGGCAGTTGGCTCCCCTGAAGTGTTTGTCACAAGATGTTACCCCAGAAGACACGTCTTCTTTGTACTCATCACTGAGAACTTTGGATGTCTGTTTGCAACTGGTCTTTGTACAACATTCCATATATATGGGTTCTCTAAGTCTTCACAGAAAATGTTATTAAGGAAAATTTTTGGAAGATGTGCATTTGGGAGGCTGAGAAGGAAAAGGAAGGATGGATCTTTGGAAACCAGTTGTGAGAAAGGTGAGTAAATGGTGAACGTTCTAATAGTGGTACTGGACCTTTGGGTTTTCTGAGGAGGGGATTTCATGTTTATTGATGTAATTTTTGCTGCAGATGTACGTGTGAATAAAATTTATAAATAAAGAAAAGTATCGCTTGCAGATGGCAGCATGTAATATTGAAGTTTGTGCTGCCATCTTAAAGGTTCATATGAAATCAATTGATGTATTTGTATGACTGGAAAGTTTCTGACGTTGGTACCATTGGCCGTATTTCTATTTCATGTGTTGTAGATTCTGTCTAAAATATTCACATAGATATAAAAAAGTGTGGCGAGACCAGCAGTGAGCAGGACATTGTCAGTGTGAGCTGCGATTTTGTGGTTTTGAAGTGCTGCGTTTGGGTCTGTTGGTTTGGATTAGTCGTAGTGTGCTTGTTCGGTTGCATTTTACAAATTTAAAAAATACACTACATACGCATTTAATATTACTTAAAGCAGGAATCGAATATTTTGTGTTGTATGTTGTAAGTGTATAGAACTTTGTAGAAAATGTTTTATCTCAAATCCATAACGAAAAGTTTAGTCCCTCTGAAGCACAGTTCACAATTGGATGTGAACACATTCCTGAAAGTGTGTTCTACAGCCGTCCAACTACGAAATTCGAGATCATATGCAGATCATCAGATCCCCGAAAGATTGAAAGATGTTCCCGATGCGGCGAATCCACGATTTTTTGACATGGTGGAGTATTTTTTCCACCGTGCATGTCAAATAGCTGAAGACAAATTGGTTGAAGACATGAAGGTTCACAAGATGTCAGTGGAGGAGAGAAAGAAAAAAGTTAAAGGAATTTTGATGTTGATGCAGGGTTGTGATCATATAATCGAAGTATCGTTTCCTGTAAGGCGAGATAATGGAGACTATCAGATGATTACAGGATATCGGGCACAGCATAGCACACATAGGACACCCTGCAAAGGAGGTAATTATACAAATTTCTTGGAGAGTTGGAAGTTGATTAGTTCAGTCTGAGTATTTCTGAGAGCTAGTACATTCATTTGCTGTCTGTGTATGGGAATTAGGTGAATGTTAAATCATGTTGGTTCTCTGTTCAACTTCATCTAAATTGACCTAAATACAAAATTTTCATGACAGCAAGTGTGTTTTGCTTTCAGGAATGTATCTGATCCTGTGGATGGAATGTTATGTTCTGTTTTGCTTTCAGGAATGTATCTGATCATGTGGATGGAATGTTATGCTTTTTTTTAGCATTTTCCTTTTATAATTTCATGATCTTAGAGTATGCCAAACACAAAAGTTTGGTGAAACTCGCAATATTCAGGGTTTTTTTCTAACGTTGTGGCAGATTTGTTTATGCATGGTAATGTCAGTGCATTGTTTTTTTCTGGAAAGAAAGGTGGTAATTCGAGGTTATATTTTGAACAAAAGTTGCACTGGTACTGTGTACCAGTGCAACTTACCACAAAAAAAAATCATATGAAGATCCAAATTAACTCATCATAAATACAAGGCATAAGCATGTTCTTCACTGCTAAGCACTAACCTTACTAGGTACCAGAAAGGTGTGGGACCACATTATTCAGTACTCTTCCAGGCAGCATTAAAATTTAAAATCACGGTATAAAAATTTGTTATGAAAAGAATTATGTTGGTTAAGGTGATGTAGAATTCCAAAATTTGAATGCAAATACATAAGTGACTCAATTATTTCTTGATTTCTCCACAGTCTACAAAGTTTTACACATAATTTTTGCACCTCTCTTCCATTAGGAATTTCATGTCATAAGGAGTTGGTTATGCCTATTAACTAACTAACTAACCAACTAGATGGCTTACCGAACCCGAAGGTTCATCACCGAATTAACCAAAGCCCTCCACCGGACCCTGTCCTGGGCCAACAAAATCCAGTCTCCTTCAACTCCTATCTCCCGTAGATCCCGCCTGAGATTATCCTCCCATCTACGTCTAGGTCTCCCCAGCGGTCTCTTCCCCTCAGGCTTATGAATCTTTATCTTCTGTACCTCGTGTAGATCATTCTGTAAGAGTGTGGTTAGAGGTGTACTGCTGTAACAAAACACGTGGCCTCGTGTGAGCAGAAGTTAAAAATGTGTTCTGTTCATAAGTCGGACACTGCGGTTGTGTACATGAAACTGTAGACCAAGTCCAAATTTGTAGTAATTTTACCCATAGTTGGAACCTGACTCCAAGCAGTTTTGTAGTTTTGTAGTTTTGTAGTCTTAGTATAATTTTAGGTATAAGTTTTCAAAATGTGAAGAATCAGAGATGTCTGAAATTAATTATGTGAGCCATTTTGATTAGTATTGCTTTATGCAGATATGTATTTAATTTGAAATGTTTTAAAATAAAAGTTGAGCCTATTTAATTTTTTTTTTTAATTTTATATATTTTATAAAGAATGATCTGTGATTATTATATATATACAAACAAGATAAAGTTTTTATTTCACTAATATCTCCAAATTTTGGTTATCTATTGGATTTTAAGTGAGATAGTGGTAGTTTATTTAGGCCTATGTTCTTCATTCGTGTTGGACCAAAATTGAAATGGATTAATGAATTACAGCTAAAACTTTTCATATTAAAGTATGTAAAATGTTAATTGAGCCAAGACAATTTGTTGATAATTTTGAATTGTAAAAAAAAGTGGAGATAATTTTTTACACTTCTGTTTCTGGTATTTGTTTAATCTTGCAGGTTGATGTGTTTAGTTTGATCCATGTACTTAATATTCTTTTAAAGAATAGCATCTTAAATGCTAATGACAGTGAATATGAAGGTGACTGTCTTCTGAAATGTGGCATTGTGTAGTCAGGTAGAAGTTTACCAACGTTTCAGAGGTCCTTGCTGCCTCAATCATCAGGACGCCATGATGCTACAACCCAGAAGACAACCATCTTTGACATTTTGGTGTTTATATTTTCAATAAGTCAATCTGTCAGGCAAATATATGGTGTTATCTATCAATGGCCTTATGAAGTACGTTTATTGCCATATAATTCGGGAACAGATGACATGATTTACATAAATTTAGAGTTTTTTACTGTTTCATAATTGTCTACAGTTTTTAATGCCAAAATGATAGATGCCTGAAGTCAGGTTCTATCAATGGCCTTATGAAGTACGTTTTTTGCCATATAATTCCGGAACAGATGTCATGATTTACATAAATTTGGAGTTTTTTACTGTTTCATAATTGCATACAGTTTTTAATTCCAAAATGATAGATGCTTGAAGTCAGGATACGGGTATGCTATGGTAGCTTTACCCCTGAGAAAAGTACCACGATGTACCCATTGGATAGGAGGCAGGGAGGAGAAACATTCTGCTCTGCTGGAAATCGAACCCGGATTGTCTAGCCCGTGGCGTAATCACTACACTAACAGCTGTCTCGGCTCAGTAGATGGAAGCACTTACACAGCACGGAACGTTTGTGTCCACCACAGTGATTTGGTTTTTAGCCTAGCAGCCAGCTCAGCCATTTCCCCGACCGGGACTACTATTTTCTTCTCCGCCATATCCAGACCCGGTTAGGAGTTAATCATAACCTCCAAAACAGTGGATCCTTGGGATTCTTTTCCAGGGATTGCAACGGCCGGATCGTGAATCTGATTTCACATTTCCATCTATTCCCGATGTTAAGAATACGTAGACTTTACCTTTACTGTCCAATACTCTTTTACGGCTTCATATTCTTAACACAGGGACAACTTTGCATTACATAAACCAACGTCGTCGTCAGTTCTAACCTCCAATTTTTGAGGTCCTGAATAAAAATCTCGGCCCCAAGTCTGGCATACTGATTGATGTTTTCGTTGTTTTACTCAATCCCTGAAAGAAAATGTCGGTATAAGTACCTTAAATCGGACCACCACCGTTTCCTTCCATATCCTTTCTACTAGTTCATTATTTTTCATCTCTGACTCTGAGATACAGAGTACATCACTAAATAAGCTACAAATAAATAAAATGTCTTGTGTCATACGTATTCTTAAATTGTGGGAATCTTTGTAACCTGTCATCGTATCGAGTTTTACGTGTCGTGTCGGCATGAACTGGAAACACGAATATACTTCTTATGCGCCACTCGTACCTCAGAAAATTGGCACGGCAGCCATGTTGGTGTTGCTGACTGCGAAGAACGGAAGTTACGAGCTTGGGATGCCATCCACCGATGATAATACGAGTTTATAAAAAAGGAAACATGTGCGTACAGACATGTAATTGGAAAGCAGGAAATTGTAATTATAACAACACCAGTCAGGCCGTGACTGAAACTGTGTTCTCTCTGGAGATGTTGCGATCACGTGGTAACGTTATCAATTCGTATAATTTAGTCAGTAGCAATGTGTGGATAATTTTCAAGTGTTGTTGATTATCTACTTATGGGGGGAAACGTGTGATAACCCAGTGCTCCAGAGTAATCTGTTGTATTACATTGTAACGAAACTGTAGACGATATAATAATGGATTTCCTCTTTGAGCGTGTTTTTTTTTTAAATTCTCATTATATTGTCATAGAATATTCAATAATATTATTTTCGTTAGCATTATGAATATGTAAGCTGTTAACCTACTATTTGCATAAAAGGCGTAGAATATATTTTAATAAAGATTGTAATAATATCAGATCAGAATGTAGTTCTAGAAATTTGTCGTGAAGATGCCCTTTAAAATTTGGTAATTTTCTTCAGCCTGTCCACATAATCCTGAAGCAATGTCAAATATTCGACCAGGGGTGCCCAACATATTTTTTTGTCTCATTTTACCTGATGACTGCAGTAGAACCATCTTTAAAAACGTCATGGTTTTAAAACACATTCACGGTGGACACGGTTGAAAAGGACGGTTTATCGCAATATATCGCACTATCGATAGAAACCTGCAGTCTTCGATTAGGATTGATCTTGTCACCAGATTTGTTCTCTTATCTGGACCTCAGCTTGTAGCTGGTGGTGATATAGAAGCTTTAGGGCGTGAAAATATTGATTCTACAATCAGAGTCTGCAACTCTGATTGTATTTTTTTTTTTTGCTGTCATTTCGCCTACTTGGGAGTTTTTCTGACCTCCGGAGCACAATCTCCTGAGAAAGAACAGTTAGAACAAAAGAATATTTTCTCGTAGAGCGGATGGGCCGATCTGTTTATATTATGCCTTGACTGTCATGTCTTTAACATATATTTATTTAATGCAGTGCCCATAATCTTAAAGATATCGGATGTTAAGTTCGTAACTATTTTTGGGAGGGGATATATACGAAAATCCTCGAGAAAATTGTTTTCACGAGGATAGTATGAGTTAAAACTACGAATAAATTTTTCGTTGTGTAAATGAATGGTCTGAGAAAGCTCGAAATTTTCTATTTTACGTCTCATTATTATTTTTATTTGAACCGGACGCGAACATTATCTGTACTATTGTACTAGGTCCTGTCTCCTGTCTGACTATTTCAGGTGTACATGGACAGAAGGACAATTGTACTAGATGACGTAATGATGAGGTCATGCAATGGTATGCGAGGCAGAGAGACCTTTCCGGGGGGGGGGGGGGTGTACCTACGTTGGTCACTATTCAGATAGGATACTCTGTATTCGCAGCATAGTGGACATATTTTTTGTTAGAATAAAATAAATAATATGATTAGCCTCATTTGGATGATGGTTAGCTTACAGAAAGTAAAAAAGTTGCTGGTTAGTCTCGTTTTCGGAGCAAGTTACTGTAAGATGTAATTTTGTTTCCAGATTTGGAGTCCTGTTCAACTTCTGTGTCATGTCTGCTTTTACTTGTAGCTTGATTTTGTTGAATGTTGCATAGTTTTTTCATACTATCTCTTGAATATATGGAGCCTGAATATAGTACAGTAAATACATACCGTTTCTGCTGACGAAAATTATGCCCATTTAGAAAATTTTAATGAAAAATAATTTTAAAACGTTTTTTTTT